CATCAAAGAAGGCAAATAGTTGGTAATACAAAGCTCCAATTATAAAACATAAGAAAAAAAGGATTGGTTCCGTGACACCTAATTACACCCATGCATGCCTTTGTTATATTGTTAAACTATGTCATAATATTTGTTTCTTCTTTGCATTATCCTATCAAATAAAGAGTATTTCATGTATTCATCTCAAGTTTCCTTCTCATTTCTCTCAAATTTTTTGTATTTCCCTAAACTAGTTTACACAAAAGTAGATAAAATAAACAAATAAATGATTTGTGGGAATCTCATAGCATGATGTTACTTTAGGAATTTCCGTGAAGAATAAAAATTTTAATTTCTTTGGATCCTTTATCATTTTTGCATACAAATTTCTCCAAAATGCTAAGTATAAGTAAATATAAGTTTTTAAATATAAATTCTAAATATATATATATATATATAGGCATTATCCTTTGACACCGGTGTCAAACTTTGAAATTTGATACCAAATCTTAACTGTTGATTTCCGTCAATCAACAGTTATCATTTATTGGGAGTTAATAGTTAATTAATAAGTTTGATTCCCAATAAATGATAACTGTTGATTGACAGAAATCAATGGTTAGAAATTGATGTCAAATTTCAAAGTTTGACACCAGTGTCAAAGGATATTATCCCATATATATATATATATATATGTATATATATATATATGTATATGTATATATATTTGGTAAAATCATTTCTACAGCCGCATTACGTGCAGCAATGACAGTGTATGGTTATGATTTTCCACATTTAATGCTTTCATCTTTTGTATGGTTATGATTCTCCATGTTTAATGTTTTCACGTACATATATGACAAGTATTTGACTGTTATATATATATATATATATATATATATATATATATATATATATATATATATATATATATATATAGAGTCAGGATCATTTTACAGCAGTGTAAGTTACACTCTCAATCTTGACCATTGATCCCATTTATATCTAAGGGCTCTAATTTTTTAGTAATGTGAGTCATTGAATACAAGTGGATCAATGCTCAAGATTGAGTGTAAGACTTCTAACTCTTACACTGGTGTAAGAATATCCTGCCCCATATATATATATATATTTATAAATTTTGAAGTCATCCAAACAATTTTTTCTTCTTTTGGGTTTCCAAAGGCATTCCACCCATTTGGACCTTTCAAACAAATTTTTACATGCTACAATCCATATTAATTTTATAGGCAACCCATAAATTTTATATGCTTCAAGCTTAATGAGCTATAGGGTAAGAGGGTATGTTAGAGAATTATAAAAATGCATGCATCAGAGAAATGTAAAACCATCAATGAGCCTTTATTTATAAGTTTAAGTTGTTGGATGAGATAATTGCTTACCATGGTATAAAAGCCAAGGTGACCACGGGGTCACGAGTTTGATCATCAATTTCTCTCCATTTTTTAGTGGAATTATATCAATACAAGGTAGAATCCAAAAAATAAGTCTATATTATACCCAATGTTCAATGTTAAAAGTGTACTCTTGTCTGAGAGAACATGTTAAATAGATATAATAATATCAAATCATTGAAGGCCTATCTCTTACCAAGCTTAAGCTCCGAATTTTTTTTTATTTCTAATTCTGCTAGAAAATATGGATACTATAAGAAAGTATAAATTAACACTTTTTTTTTTTGAAAAAAATAAATTCAACTTCTTAAAATTCAATTATTGTCCCTTAGAATATATATTTTAAACTTGTAGCATTCAACGTTTCTTATTATGTTAAAACAAACGGCGTCTAAGGCACATAGGCGGCTGGTGACTTATCATTGCTAAAGTAAGAATAGGAATTTGAAGAAGACATACCTGGTTGAGAAGAAATGGGCGACAGACAGAGGGGATGATGGGCATAGTACTTCACGCTAAGCAGGAGTGTTATGATTCTTCGGCCCTAATCACACATTTCACATATATTAAAAAAACAAAGACTCATAAATAACTAAACATATTGTTCTCCATTTTATCCATTTTAAGAATAAATATGTCAGAAAATAATATAAATCATTAAAAAGACTTTCACTTAACCCCTTAAGATTTTGGGTTGAAATGATTCTTTACATGATATCAGAGCTTCAGTAACTATAAGGTCAAGGTCACAAGTTCATTTCAAGCCTAAAGGGCTCTTACGTGAAAAAATGTGTTAGAAAATAATATAAACATTTAAAAAGACATTCATCCAACACTTTAAGATTTTGAGTTGAAATGATTATTTATGAAATAAGTGAAACACAAAATCAAAACACCTCTAAATTGTTTCCTAATATCTATTCTAAAAACAAAAAATCAATTATTATTTTCACAAAACACTCTTTACCAAATAAGTTTTTTTATTTGTTCTTAAAACTAAAAATTTATTTTTTAAAACAACAATCAAACAAACACCAGGGAATTTTTTATTTTCATATCCCATTATTCAAGTGTCTATTTTAGAGAAAAAAATGCAAAAATATTTTTAAAATAGATATACTAGAATGTATTGAAATCTTTTCGTTTCATATAGAGATGAGATCATTTGACACCAGTATCAAACTTTAAAATTTGACATCAAATCTTAACCGTTGATTTTCATCAATCAACAGTTATCATTTATTGGAAATTAATAATGAATTAATGAGTTTGATTGGCAAAAATTATAATCGTTGATTGGAGGAAATCAACGGTTAGGATTTGATATCAAATTTCAAAATTTCACATCGTTGTCAAAGGATCTGTCCATAGGCATATTAATTTGACATATATATATATATATATATATATATATATATATATATATATATATATATATATATTGTTTTTTGCTTTTAAATGTGTTACATCATCCTGGTCCTTGCCCACACGTGTCTATGAAGAGTGGTTATGCATGCAATGTTATAAAAACCTACCGATCCGGCTGGTTTAATCAGCTGACCTATAAATCGAACCCCTAATTTGTCCAATTTAGGTATTGGACCGGTCATGTATTTGATCTGGTATGAATTGAGTTCAAACGGTATTAAATTGGCATTGGTTTTTTAAAAAAAACCCGATTTTGTAGAATTTTGAACAAAATGCTTGAAAAATACCACTAATGAAATTCAAACCTAGGTCATGTGGATTATAATTTATAGCACTTATGACTAAACCAACTCTAATAATTGGTTAAAATGCTTATAATTTTATATATATTATATATATTTAAATCATACAAATAAACTAATAATCCACTAGTTGAACGGGTGATCTATTGACTCGGTACTTCGACTGAGTCGATAATCGATTTGAGTTTGATAACACTCGTGATTGTAGGGTACATAGTCTCTCACTTTCGAAATATGAATTTTAGTATTATTATTATTATTTATTTATTTTTATTTTTATTTTTATTTTTTTTTTAATTTGAGTATTGTTCTAGTTGAAGGCAATCAGTTGCTCACAGGGGTTGTCATATGTGGTAATTGGAAGTTGGTTTTACGATAAAGTTATTGGGATTCACAATGTTCTAGGAGATTCATAAATTTCTAAATTCATGATATGTTTAATGATTAATTCATTTTCGATGTTCCTGATGAAATTATTAGAAATAGATTGGGTGATCTATTTATCCTTAAGAGATAGATTTTCAAACTTAATTAGTATATTCTCATTTATTAACTCAAATGAAACTTTGATAGCAAATGTAAGAAAAATTATATGATGATTATGTGAAATTAGAAGACTGATAAATAGTTATTTAAAAGACATGATGACCGATGATAGGAATTTATGCTTTGATCCGATCACCTACTAAATTTGTGAAAGAATACGACTTCCTTTGCAGTTCACCACTATTCTCAATGCTGTAAGTTGTGGAGGACTAAAACTACGTAACACAAAAGCAGACAGGATATAACCTAACAAGTTAACCCTGGTGCCCTTCAATCATGGATTTATGGCTAAGGCCAATCATTATTACACATACCAATGTTATAAATGTCTAGACCCATATTAGATGGATCACACAATTTAATAAATGGGCTGAAATGCATCCTTATATGACTCATGTTAAAAATTTTTAACAATTAATCTATAAAAGAATGTTAAAAATGTTTAACAAAGAGTATTAGCACTTATCTTGTTAGCATGGACCTGCCTATATATCCCAGCTATGCGTGTTAAAACTAAAAACATGTTAAATACACGAAAGTGGTTAAAATAAAGTCACACCGTTTTTTTATTTTTGCCGAAAAAATGACACATTTTTAAATTACATGTAGATTTGTATAACTAAGTCTTCATATGAAGCTAAACAAATTTATTTACAAATCTACAGAATAATGAGTATTTACTAATTTTTAATTGCAAATATAGCACTACTCTTAAGGCGTTAGTGTCTTATAAATTCTTATTTCCAAAAAAAAGTGTCTTATAAATTCTGGACTGAAATCATTAGACAAAGGTACTTTGTTTACAAGTATTTACTACATTTTTGCTTTTTTTCTAAGTGTATTCATCTTTTATAGGTCCATGCAATGTTCTATAATCGACATGTATGAAATAGGGCAGCGGCCATCAGCTTTACCCTTCATTTGTCAGAACTTGATAAATTATGACTAGCTGGTTTGGCCATTGGTCTAGCCCACCTTTTGGAATGGGAAATTTCTCATAAATCATTCAAGGGATGTTTTAGTCATGATGAAATATCATTGCAATTAAGGATAATCATATAAATACTTGTGATTGGGCAGGTGGCGTATCATTTGAACTCTCTGCATGCTACTGTTTATACATGCTCCTGAGTTGGATTGTTTGGGCTATGGAAAGCAACCAAACAAAGTGGCATCGAAAACCCTGATTAAATTGAGAGAGAGAGAGAGAGAGAGAGAGAGAGAGAGAGAGAGAGAGAGAGAGAGAGAGAGAGAGATTAAAATTGTTGGAAACATACCATAATTTTATTCACTTATTGATAATTACTCCCACTTGGGGATGTCTGTTGCATAATAATACTATTAATACCAAAAAAAAAAAATAAGAAACATACAAGACAATAACAATAAGTTCCCATTGTGCAGCAGCCATATTATATATCTATATAGCTTTTTTTTATCTTCTATCCATATGTACACCGTGAATTCTGACTTTCGATCAATAACATTCATATGAAATAATAACTGCTAAAACTTCTATTTATGGCTGGCATGAGAATGCTACCCTAAAATCCTTAATACAATACTATTCCTTCGGTGCCATTTCGCCCCTTCATAGAGACCCCCTCTCAGGTAACCAAGGTTAATGTCTTCTTTTTAACTTTCTCCCTTTCCATTCTCATTTTCTAAAAGCCTCCTCACGCATTTATTAAGGATCTCAAAGATGAGTGACATGCCTCTAATCTGCAAGTAAGCCATTTACCACAAATTATTATGCTCTCAAGGTAAAGAACAAAATTGCAGCAATGTAGTGTAAAAGTTATTTAAAAATAGAAAGGATAGGCAGTTACCTCGATCAAATTACTATCACTAAGACCCCGCAGCTGTCCTGTAGCAACTTCTTTGCCGTTCAAGAAGATAGAACTCTTGCCAAGATTTTTAATAATGAAAGAACCATTTGCTTCCATCCTTATTAAAGCCTATCAGATAAAAAGTAGTCCATTGTTCATGCTACTATAAATTCAGCGGAGAAAATTTAAAAATGTAAATGGAGGTGACCGAAAATTTCTAGATTTTCTCTATGAACAACTATTCTTCGGGTCCTTGCTGTTTAATGTGCCCATGCATAATGAAAATGATACAGATCCAGATATCATAATAACACTATTTAGTTCAATTACCAAAAAAAGGAACGCCATTCCATTCCAAATGGATCTTTCTATAAGTTTGTCATTTGCCTAGCTCCAGAAATATACCAATCCTTTAATAGTGATTATATTACTAGAAAAGACAACGATCATTTCATGCATTTTTTGTCAAACAATAATACCAAAGCCTACCCCCCAAAAAAGAGAAATATATGAAATTAAAAGGACTTCCAATTCATCAGTAAAATCAACCAAGGACACAAATTTTGCACCTGAAGCTTCTAAGAAATCTTACCTGTCTTCTTGATATTTTGTTAGCCAGCCCTTCTCTTCCCAAGTCAATATCAACTTGTACATCATCTGTTGATCTGCCAAGTATAACCTGTGAAATAGAAAGAGATTGTACAAAACATGAGAGAAATCATTTATACTGGAAACGAACATCACAAACCTCTGGAACAACACCAATTAGGCAAACACCAAAATCAGAATTTTATATGTAGTGCTAATGCTCACTCAATGGACATATCAATGTATCACAGTTCACCCTGATGAAGGTCAATCTTCTGTTCAGAGACGCAGATAACACTATACAAAATTTAAAACAATTTAAATTTAAAAGATGGTAGCTAAACAAAGCAATAACAAATAAGAAAAATAAGATCCTCAACAACCCGTGAAACTCCTAGAAAAAACTATAAAATTCCACTAGTCACAAGACCACTTAAAGCTAGTCTGTTTCCATTTTATTTATCCAATTCCAAAGCTAAAGCATTATTGGTTATTCAATGATAACTAGACCAATATTGTGCAAGACAACAAATCATGACATGGAAATCACAACTGCATGAAAACATGCCTTAAAAAGGGATCTAACATATTTAGAAGAAAAAACAATTCACAAAATTCATTATGCTGAGACAGGAGGAAGAGAATATAGGGAAAGATTCGTTCTTCTATTTTTTAAAGGAAAACAAAAGGTCCAAATTCATAAATGCAACTCTCCTTTTTAATATAATGCTTCAGATTGCACCCGTACAATACTGCTAGTGTACCCTGAGATACCTTACAAATCATAAAATCATGACATGGAAATCGCAACTGCATGCAAACATGCCTTAAAAATGGATCTCATATATTTAAAAGAAAGAAAAATCACAACATTCATTATGTTGAGATGGGAGGAAGACAATATAGGGAAAGATTAATTCTTCTATATTTTAAAGGAAAACAAGAGGTCCAAATTCATGAATGCACCTCTCTTTTTTTAATATATTGCTTCAGATTGCGCCCGTATAATACTGCAAGTGCACCCCGAGATGCAATGGTTCTTCGCGTACCAGACAGAGCAGACTGCTCCAATCTCATTAGGGTCCTCTTAGTTTCTGCATGTTGATGTCTCAAGACTGTAATAAAAGAATATAATATTATAAGACAAATAACCATCATTAAAATACATAGAGATTAATAAATTCAATGAGGAACAACATAAGTCATAAAAGTTCAGAGAGCAATATCTGAATCTATATTTTAACCATAACAGTTGGCATTTGAAACTTTGGTGAACACCAACCAGCAAATTATTAATACAAAGAATGCTTTTTTTTTTTTTTGGAGTTACCCAACCCTAATTACCTCTTTGAGACGAGTTGACTCCTTCCGATATCCCCACAAGCTTCGGCTCTTTGAACCGGCTATGGGACTAATTCGAAGTGCGGGGCAGGTCAGGAATGAAGATATTTAAGCCCTCCCAAAGGTGGCATGTGGGGAACAAAGAATGCTTTAATTAAAAGAAAACTCATAGGAAAAAGTCAGAAACTCAAAACCAGAAACCAAATTTCCATTTTCATTTAATAATTCAAACCTTTAACTTTCAACTATTCACAAGCAAAGGGTGAGCTAGGGCACAACTGTAAGGCTTGTTAGTTGTTGCCTTATGACCTGTAGGTTCTAGTCAGGGAAACAACCCTCCACTTAAAGAGTAAAGTTGTGTAGATTTGACGCTCCCTAGATACCACATGGGAGGAGCCTTGTGCAATAGGAAGCCCTTTATGAATTAAAAACCTTAAACAGAACTGTGATCATATTATTTTATCTAGCCATAGACGATTTACCTTCTCTACTTGCATTTATATCTTGATCAGCTGGACTTGGAAATAAATCCATTTCAAGAATCTGAGCAAGCAACATCAAGAATATGAGAGATAACCTAACACAATTAAATATGGGGAATTATTACTATCCAATGCAACATACAACACTTACCATTGTCTCAACGTCCGAAAAATAAGGAATATCATTGTCATTGTCGTCATCGTCGTTATTATCATCATCACCTCCTTCCTGGTCAAGAGATAATGATTTTGCTTCTGATTTAGTTAGAGCCTTATGTTCTTCTGCCTTTGGATGTGCATAAACTTCGGCCAAACCCGGAGCATCAATTTCCTGTTTATAACACACAACTTCAATGAATTTTTCTTAATAAAAGTAAAACCATAAATTAGTCCCTAACAAGTTTTCCATTTAATTATGAAGTATCTTGGAATTGACATATTTAACCTCTTGTTTCAGATGTCCATCGGAGGAAGGCATCATAGTTGCATGAACTAATCTGCTATGACTTGGGTTGACGTTGACAATGACATAGTTATTCTGTCTAGAAACTGCAGAAATAGTGTTCCTTACAGGACTTTCAGTTTTCAGTGCAACACCAACAGGTGGGTAGCTTGAATTTATATCAGGCACTAACCCCGATCTAACTGTCTGTGAAGCAGCAAGAGAGTGTGAAGGAATGTCTTCCCCCTTCAAGCTTCCATCTGGTTCATTTTTTCTTTGATTATTAATAAGAGAATCTGAATAACCCACCTCTTTAATAGTTGGTTGGGATTTCAGAGTCACTGAATGAGAAGCTTCATCGGATAAGTTTGTACTGTCATTGCATGGGATATCAGGATCCTCAGTGTTCAATATGCAGACCATTAATTCATCAGTGCGTTCAGGGTGAGGACTTTGTGCTGCCGCAGTTGATGGGACATCATTTCCAGGATCAGAAACAAAATGATGATCACCATTACTGCTGCCAAATGAGTCAGCAACAAACTCTAACCCAGCGGCAGATGACCTACCAGGCGTAGCAAGTTTTGTTTCTGAATCTAACTTATGAGATTCATGAATATCAGGTGCATCACCGCCCTGGATGTCACATGGAGAACTCAACAAAAGTGAATCAACATTCTCATAACAAGTCTTATCCATCGCTCTTGCATCTTTCCCATCTATATTCATAAATACAAACTCATCGTCATTTGCCAAGTTCAAGAGAGAATCCGAAATGTGTGTAGCGTCTTCTCCCAACATAGCAGCAGGCGCATTCACCGCACCATTGCCGCATTTGCCTTTCAAACCATGGGGAAGCATTATTCTCGCTTCGAAGCCATGGCTTTTATTCTCAAGATTAACTTGTACAGGCATAGCAGGCACATAGACATCCTCAATTGTTTTCCATAGAGGAACCTCACTCATCGAATGCGATGACCCTTCTTCCTCTACCCTGGGGTAATTCCCATAATCAACTAAATTATTCACAAGCAAATTATTTACATCCTTATCTAAACCACCCTGCACCAAAGACATTGCACTATCAATTCTCCTCATCCCAACACCCATTAGACCCACAGGATTCTTCTCAATACACATTTCATCATGCAATGCCATATCGAAATTGTCAAAAACCTGCCTGCAAAGTCTTTTCCTCATCTCGTAGTACTGATTGCGAAGACTCTGCAGTTTCCTCTTTCCACCACCTTCACCAAATCCTTCCCTGATTCCACTTCCACTGTACATGCCGATCTCCAAATTCGCCATAGAAGCAGAAGCCTCCCTCGAAACATCAGAATCATACAGAAGCGACCGCCATCGATCCCGCAATTCCGTAATCGAATACCTCCGCGAAAACCGAACCGCTCCTTTCGCTAGCGATTCAAGAGAAGCACCTGCCTGTATAGCACAAAACAAAACAATCAACAACCGGACACCTAACGCGAGATTAACTATAATTACCAGAACAGAACAGAGGCTAGGGTTTCTAGCTTCGTGCGTAGGAAGAAAAAATGAATTTTGAAGGGGGGAAATAAGTGAGAGATAGAAATTGAAGGAAAGAGAGAGAAACCTCAACAGCGTTCTTCAAGATAAGGTCGTCTTCGGGAATCCAGTGAGGCAGCATCACAACGAGGTCCATGAAGAAGGATTGGTGAATTGCGAGGTATAATGATGATGTTATAGTTAGTGGAGTTTTGGAGAGAGAGAGAGAGAGAGAGAGAGAGAGAAAGAGAGAAGGTGTTCAGTGTTCAGTGTTCAGAAACGAAGTGTTGAAATGAAAGAGTGAAGAAGAGCGCGGGTAACGTGTGTTGCGTTCCAAACCTCGTGACCATCGTCGACATATTCCGGAAAAATGATTCCCTCTCAGTGCAGGTGCAGTGCCATCACACATTCTCACTTCACTTCAACATATTTAAAATTTTTTTTAACATTATTCTCTCTCTCTCTCTCGATCTTGATCTTCAGGAATTTTAATATCTTAAAGTGTTTGACATTTTTGGAAACTGGCCAAAAAAGCAAAACAAATAAATTTGGTTCTTATCTTTGTTTGGCTAAATGAGTAATTGTTTAATTGTTTTCCTCTTCAAGCCTTTTAGCCTTAGGCATCGAATTTTTATTTTTAAGAAAAATATTATGCCTAACTCTATAAATGCAATGCAATTTACACGCTTACGAAGAATGATAACTTAATGCACCAAATTATGATGAGTCACGTGAGAGAACCTCCTAAAATCAAAACATTAGTTTGTTAAAAAATCCGAGTGATAGATACACTGTCATACACAGGTTTGTTAAAAATTTAGTACAGTGAATCTTGTTGTCCTTATGAACTGTTAGAAAAATCTATAAAAAAAAAAAAAAGCATTATGTCGAATTTCATTAGATAAAATGGATATTGAACTTAATTTTATAAAGTAAATATAAACTGATTTTTTACGTAAACTTACCGATATACCATTTATTTTCGTTAGAGCAAAAAGTTTGACTGAAATAAAAATATCGATAATTTATAATAAGAACTATTTATAATATGTAAGTGTTACTTATGTAATATTAGGTCATTTTTAATTGTTATCTCTGTGTGATCTATTTTATATTTAATATATTGTTCTATTATTTTAACAGCGCCGATTATTACTTATTAAAATAATAATTATCACTAGAATTAGTATATAATATATTTTTCTTGTCAATATCTATATTTTAATTCTTTATTCTTAAATCAGTATTTAACTTTTCCTTAAAAAGTTTATATATGTTTAACGGTAATATTAATTACTTTTATGCCTATTTCGTTATATATAAAAATTGTCATTTTTCTTTTTAAAATTAATATGTATTTAATTTTATTGTTAATTTCTTTCAAGCTATTATATATACCTATATATATATATATATATATATATATATATATATTATCTCATTTTTCTTTTCAAATTAATATACATTTAATGATATTATTAAATGCTTTCAAGCCAATTTTGTTGCATGTATGAATATACATAAATGATATAACTATTCTTTGAAGATTTTGCAGAAAAGAAATTTACAATTATTGAGCGTTTGATAGAAGAAAATTTTTTATGTTTACAGGAATCGTAATTAAAAAATTATTTGGTAAGTCAAAATATTCTCAGAAATGTTGGCTCAAGTTTCCTATTTTTATGTTTGGTTGATTGTCAATGAATTCTGAGAATGTGGCCTGATTTTACAAAATTAACCTTGATGAATTTTTGAAAAAAAATTCTGATATGCCACATAATGATCAAAATATAGCATTGGAGATCAAACTCAAAATTCATTTGATGAATTTTCCATACGGTGAAGCAGAGTATCACAGTTAGAACTTTAACAAGAGAAAGTATTTTAATCATATTAAAACAGATTTATTTATATCCTATAAATTATGTAAAAAAAATTCACTTGGTGCTATTATTTCATGGGATTTTTATTCATAATTTTAATTTCCAAATCTCATTTTTCACAAGAAAATTTTAAGAATCATTATTCCAAATATGAATAACTAATATTCCTAATATAAGTTTTATGGAATCTAAAATTTATCCCTCTATCCCCTTAATTTACCTGGACATCACATGTTAGGAAAGTACATTACTCATTTTTTGTTTTTCGGTAAAGTACATCCCTCATTTTAAATGATATTTAAAAAAAAAAAAAAAGATAGAAACAATATTTGTGTTTACTAAAGAGAGAATATTCGTTTGCATGTAGCAGCATCAGAAACTTGATTCCCCGTTATAATTGCAGAATACAGATGCAACATTGGACCACCAATATCGTGTGGACCTCGTTTTTTTTTTTTTTTTTTTCCCTTTCCTTTTCTGTTTTCCTACTTATATTTCCTTGGTTAAATAAGGTAAGACTTAATATATTATTATTATACTCAACGGCTATTATTCGAGTGTTAAAGACTAACTTAACAGGCCAAATCCATGATTATATAATAGTTTATATTTAAGGCACAGTTGTATTCAGATTAATCTATTACATATTTAAAATAGTTTGTAATTAAAATAATGTAACTTTTTTAAAAAAAGAAACTTTTTATCTATAAATAATCAAAATCAAACGTTAGCTTAAACATATCTATATATTATATTGTATAAAATAAGATTTCTGCATACGGATCTCGTCTCACTTTACATGTTATCACCCTAGTTATGTTTTTCCCCAGTAAAAAACAAGCTTATATAATAGGATATATCTCTTATATTTTTTATTTGATCATCAAAATCCAATTCAATTATTTCTATTGTTCTTAAATAGACAAATTAATAAAAATTCATTCAATTAGATGAATTAAATAAATAAATAAAAGAATATATTTAATTTGAAAATTTGATTAACTTAATATTAATTGCGATTATTCTTAATAGAAAAATTAATAAAATTCAATTAATTTGATGATTTAAATAAATAAGTAAAAGACTATATTTAATTTAACTTAAAAATGTTTAATTGTGAATCTAAAGGTGTTAACGGGCCGAGCCGAGCCGGACTTTGGTCTTAAAAGATTAAGTTTGTATTTAAATGTGTTAGTCTGGCCTAGCCAGTTAACTGTTATGAATATAATTATCGGCCAGTGACCTGGGTTATTTACAAAAAATAAAAGTCTGATTTATCCTGTTAAAAAAAAAGCAAGACAACAAAAATTTATCCAAACAGAATATACAATCAACAACACTAATAATTCCACAAAGATTCTTAAATTCAATGTATATCCGAACAGCATAATATAGAAAAAAAAAATCATTCAAGAAGTCTATTTAACCAAAAAAATGGGGTGAAATGGGTTGTGAAGAGAGAAAAGGCTATTATGAGTAGTATAAAAGTATAAAATAAAAATAAAAATTAGTGTATTAGGTCAGCCTGAGAGGCTCTAAGGTCGGACTTTTAAATTGGAGTCCGATGCTTCTTTATTAAACGAGTTTTTATACAAGTCCAAGCCTGATTCCAACAACCAATTTTAGATATGTAAGCCCATACATTCACGAGTTGGGTCAAAGGCCCCTGATTCATTTACCACCCCTACGTGCATCTAATAATATATAGATTCAAATTATTATTTTTAAATTTTACAAACACAAAATATTCATACAATATAAGTTCTATTCTATTTCATTTCTTTATGTTAGGTTATTTTATTTAGGGTTTCATTTGTATTGATTTGACTCAATATATTTTTCTTTATTTTCAAGTTTCACCTTTTTATTTATATTTTAAAATTAGAAAAAAAATCTTATATTCTTAGATTTCTTTTCTTTTTTTCAAAAATGTTTTATTATATTATGTTTATGAATCTTATATGGCTAGATTTATAGTTTAATTAGAAATATATCTATATAGTAATTAAATAATATTAACTCTTTTACGATACCAAAAAATAATAATATTAACTTGTTTACAAATATATTAAATATGGCCAACAAAGGTGAGTACAATTGACTAAGGGTTTGATCCATACCGCACAAGGGCGTGGGTTCAAATCTCATTGGCCGATGTGAGAACTTTGTTGATGGTTGATATGTAATCCCTCTCAAAAATTCTCAAAGAGGTTGAGGAGTCTTCCCTGACCCTAGTAGGATATCGGTGACTAACCCCACTTAAATTTTTTTTTACAAAAAATAAAATAAAATGTATTAAACATGTGTCTAAATTCAATTACTTGTTGAATTTTTTTCCTAAGAAAATGTTCAATTTTATTTGAATTGCTTTAACATTATTTTGGATCGATCGCATTGGCCTAGTTCACCTAGCCAGCTACTTAGGTTCATTAAAGGATCATTCATTTGTATCCCTAAAGTGAGAGTTTCATATTTTCAATGTAAAAGATCTCACTCCCCTACACCAGTGCATCTCACACCTCACTTGCAATGAATGTGTTGGTCTCACGCATACAGTGAGACTCACAAGCAATGTTATCATAATTGTCTCGGTCATTGACCCGACTAAGGTACTAGGTCACTGGTTCAACTGGCGGGTTATCGATTGAACCACATAACTCGGGTTAGTACATAAAAACCTATATTTTACACATAAAAATCCATAAAATATTCAAATACATGTAAAAAATTGTTATTCTGGGCTGCAAGCATATATCATTTTTGTAGGGATAAAAAAAGTCATATATGATAACCACATACAATATATTATTAAAAAAATAAACAAATGAAAATTCAAGTATCAGGTAACCATATATAATTCCTCTACCAAGTATCCTCAACTAACCATGTTTAATAATTATAAGGCATTTACCAACAACTTTTCCCATAAAAATGGATTTGTAAGGAATTAATACGTCATCTTCTCTTAATTTACTGTTCCGTAAATTGCTTCAGACTTAGAATCTGAAATTTGATGTCACTGTAAGAGAGTATACTACTAGCAAACAAAACTATAAAAAAAATTTAAAGGAGTTCCAATCTTTTTTCAAACAAGATGAGACAACTTTGGTTTTTGGTTTTTTTTAATAAAAATGCATAATCGGGTCCAATTCGTGGCTAGTCCGATACTTGACTCGGTTCGCCGAGTTCTGGGTCTGATACATTGCTCACAAGGCAACATAGTTATAATTCTCTTTTATGATTAGGGAATATTTCCCACCTATAAATACTTTATCTTTAGACATTGAAGAGACATCTTGAATTCACTGTTTTATGAGCTGTTACTCTGTCAAAATACAAATTCACTGTGTTGAACAAGAATGGCCAACAATACCACAAGAGTGGGGATGAATTGTGGTTAACTTCTTTTGCAAAAAACCTTGTTTTTCAAACCCCTTTAACAAGAAACCTCAAGAAAATGTGGTAGAATAGAAACCAAACCCTTACCAACCCAAAAACATAATCAAAGCAATGTAAATAACACCACAAACAGAGAAT